TGTCTTCTCTTGATCAGGCCTCTACAGCAGCTGGTGTTGTCCTCTCTGTAGTGTTTTGCTGTCTCAGTGCTGCAGATATCAGAAACAATTCTGTATTGTCTTTGTAATCAGTATCACGGAAAAGATGATCATTGAGTTTCGTGTTTGTGTTTTGTGAGAGTGCAAAGGACACATTGCTTTTGTAAGTGTTGTGTCTTTCAAAAGTTCAGACATTCCTATTTATTTCAGTGAAGACTTGTTTTTCCGATTCCTGCGTGGCAGTCTCAGACTTATCTGATTGCAACTTTGGAGGCAGCTGGTCTCCAGTGTTTCTGACCATTTTGAGCCTTTTTTTCTGTTCACACTCAATTTCACAAGCTATTTCAGCCAATTCTCCGAACATTTGAGTTTCATCTTTCTCACTTTTGATCTACCCATTTTTCTGCTGTGAATTCTGTCGCTGAGCGTGTCTCTTAGCAGCTTCTTTTCACACTTTCAACCATGCCAATGTGTAATTTGAATCCCAGTCTGGGTCCCTGTTTTCAGTTACCACGTCTTCCAGTAAATGTATTTTTTCTCAGCAGAAAGACTCATTTAGAGAGTATAGCCCCTCTGTGAAACTGTACAGGTTAAATCTAAAGATAAAAAGCGTAAACATTTCTCCTGAAATAAAATAAATGATTTTGCTCTGAATTTAAAATACAACTAGAGAACAGACCTCGGTTGAAATTGATTTCATTCACATCCAACACAGCCCAACACATCCTTTGCCTTTTAGGTCTCCATTCACGCATGAACCCGCTGTGACATCACACTAATATGACTCCAAAGAGATATCAGTTAAACAGTTAAATCTCATTTTAGGCACAGCTTTTCAGCTTTAAGTCATTAACAAGAGGGGAAAAAGAAAACCTCTTCCAAAAACACTCTGACAGTTGAACACATTCTTAAAGGTTTACTCACTCAGAAATACTTCTCTAATTGGTGCATCGCTCACTGACACCAGGTTGTTGAGGAATAATATGTAAACACTGAAATGGATGATTGTTTCTCATCAGAGTTTACTGACATGAGCCAAAAGAAAGAAGTTAGAGTAGGACTGTATATTTATTAGATCATGTGCTAAGCAAAGAAACTGAAAAGGACATTTCCCAGGAACATCTCTTTCCAGAAACAGTGTCCCAATTACTGTGGATAAGCCACAGACTTTGCTGTCAACAGTTTTCATCTGAACTACTTTCTTGTGAAAAATAGTCCTTCTGAAAATGGTTAGCAGTGTGTTCTGTGGACTAATAGGGACATTGATTATAGGAAGACATGTTGTTATGTAGATGTTGCAGACACATTCACACTGTGTTGAAAGCAGCTTTAAACATCAAGTTCAAGAGTTGAACAGGTCTTCTTTTTCTCTGTCAGGGCCATAATATTCAGCTCATGGAGAAGTAGTTGATGTTAGCCGGGGGGACAGTTGCTATTCTGACATGCGGCGTAGCTCAACACCTCCCAGACAGCCTGCGGGGCATCAAACCACCTCTGCTGGGGTGACTCGCTTGACACCATATGGTGCCACTGTGTTGTGACCCCACCTGTCCGTTCGATCTCTGGTCAGGACCTGACACAGATAGAAGTAAACCTCAGAAAATCACTAGTCTCTCCAAATGGACTCAGATGCTTTCTCGATACAACAGCTACTTTCGTCCTCGAGTACACACAGCACTTTTCACTTCTAATGGGATGAGCGTGATATTTTGTCATCTCACGAGGGGGGCACCACGCACGCACTGCTTTCCTTAAGACAGGCATCCCAGTGACTTACTAATGGCGTCATGTCCGCCTGTGTGAATTTGAAAAAACTCCCTGAATGTGGATATTGTTTGCTATAGGGCACATTCGTTTGATGAGTCTAATCCCTTGTCTGAAGAAACAAAGGTGTAACATTCAGCTGCTGAGGATCAGCGAGTGTGAGTGATGGTGTACATAAACCCATCTCTCCCAATCCCACACAGGCTCCTAATCCGAGAAGATCAAGTGTAACCAGGCTGGAAGTGTGACTGGGCGGGAGCCAGCATGATGCTTTCGGTTATGTTGACTCACACCGTGATCACTCCTGGCTCACAACAAACACAGTATGTCACGCCTGTCTAACCTTTTCGTCTTATTGTTATTCAAAGACCAAATTTACTACCTCAAATGTACATTTTTGTGTACGAATGTACAAAGTTTCTCTCTTTTTTTTAATTAATTTTACATCATTTTCCTACATTACTCAATGAGATATTTGACTTTGTATCAGAAAAAATCTATTTCTGAAGAACAAACACAGATGTTTGTGCACTAGGGGCGAGTAATGTGCCAGGTTCATGTGCAACCATACGTGACCTTTGCAGTACAGTCACAACATCTGTGTGAAGGCTTTGCATGCACATATGAAGCATATGTGCTGTACAAAGACCTAACTGTTAATTTCCACAGTACAGTGAGACATCAATCAAAGCTGAGTAGGCAGTGAAATTAACTGAGCACAAACAGGAGCCAGGCAGCATTAACATGAGTCTATTTTTAAACTAAGTACTGTGAGTAATGTTGTTTTTTTCTGTATTTGATCGTGAAGGTTTCACATCACTGCCACATGCTCTTTTTTAACAAACATAGCTGATTGCATCTGCTTCAACATTATTATTTTTCAAGTGAAGGATTAAAAAATATCCTGTAATTTGGAATCATTTTACAGTGACTTGATTTTCTTTAGAGACAGCAGTCTAAAAAACACATCAGTCACATACATTTTCACATTTTTGGTTCTTATTTAGGGAAGTGCAATTTGACAGGACCATATTATGTAACAGTCTTCTATAGCTTTTGTTTTTTGGCCTTAATTTGATGTGTCATCTACCTGGCAACGCCTCTGGTCTCAGAACCTTTTCCTCATGTGAATCATGTCCCCGGACATGTCTTACCAAAGGGAAAAAAAGGCAACTGAACGGTTAAGGCGCAAACCACATGTACCATATCCACGGCTCTCGGATGGGGGACCTTTGCTGCTGCATGTCATACCCCTCCCTCTTCTCCATATTTTATTTTCTATGATGTTGAATGAAGAAAAAAACAAGCAAAAAAAAAAAAAAAACGTTACCTAACATAATCAAACTAGGAATTCCAGGAATGTGTTATTCAATAAATGGGACCTGAATGAACAGACTGTTGTCTATACTCGTCATTCAACTGTAAATCAACTCAAAGGAGACCTCATTAAATAAAACAAAATTTAAAAGACTTACTTTTTTGGACCAGGGTGACTCTTCTGTGAGACTAGGGTGTCAAAACACAGCTGTAGTTCTCTTTTCTTAAATGTGTGAATTTCACTATTAAGTCAGTGTGTGTGTGTATGTGTGTGTGTGTGTGTGTGTGTGTGTGTGTGTGTATGTATACGTATTTATATTACCTCTTTTCCAGTATAAACACAGACCTTGTCGGGAACAGTTGTCCTCATGGGGACCCGACCCTTATGAAGCCAACTGTCTTTTCTGAGGTCCCGGTTGAGGTCAGGGTTAGGGTGTCCTCAATGAATGGAAGTCAATACAAATGTCCTAACAAGGATGGCTGTGCAAATGTCTGTGTGTGTGTGTGTGTGTGTGTGTGTGTGTGTGTGTGTGTGTGTGTGTGAGATATACATCATCTTGGATTAAAACTTCCTGCTGTGTACCTGCTGCAGCACCTGTAGTCAGAGCTCAGTGAGTGATAATCCATAAAAAAGTGAGTGAGATCTGGGCTGGGAGCAGAGGTGTGAATATCAAAAGCAAAAGGATATAAATTGATGTTGAAACATGCTGGTTAGGCAAATTCTTTCTTTTTTATTCAATTTCACAGAGATTACAGTTTTGATCTTATTCACTGTGTTACGTTTCAATCTATTTACCGGTGGCAGCTTTGAAGTTGGAAGAAGATTTTTAAGCAAAGCAGGTATAGGCTAACAAGGCCTTGTTAAGCCGGTGACAAAAAGACACACTCTGTCTCTCCTGATCCACAGGGACTGGGAAAGTAGGCCAGACTTGGTGTCAGACTGCTGCGAGGATCAGGATGCTGAAGTTGTTGACTTGTGATCAAAGTTCCTTTTCACACTTTAGATGTCAAGAATCTCGCAGAGTGAGAGAGTGAGAGAGATTTAAAATATTCCTCACACACACACACACACACGTAGGACATATTTTTAGCAGGGAGGCTTTCCAGATGAACACTGCGTCACACGGTGCCATCCAGAAGCACCCAGCCTTTTAATAAATCATCTTTTCTGGTGATGGAAGTTGAACTATTCACCCTGCCTACTCCATCAAAGACACACAAACACAGAAACATGAGAGGACATAGCAGAGAAAATCCTATAGGAGACCTAATAAGCATAAGACACTGATCTCATAAACTCACTTGTGGGTACCACAGACACACCAGTCCCTACAGGAATATTATGGCAATGGCAACTGGAGACAACATTTCTAATTTTAGGATGTCAACTTCATCCCTGAATGTTTCAAGGGCATTGAGTGTAAACGGAGAATGAGTATGTGTATGTGTTTAGATTCAACGATGTATTTTGTGCAGTGTACAGAACCCCCATCAGTCTCCTTTCATCTCGTAGAAACGAGCTTGTTCCTGTACATCAAACAAACTCTTGTAGAGGAGAGCGACTCATCTTTTCTAAGTGATTAGGCCAATAAACCGTACACATGGCCTGCGCTCATAGACAGCCATTTGACTAATTTGCAATTAGGAAGCTCTTTGGTTGTTGACAAACTGTGTATTAGGCTCCAGCGCGCAGATGACCCTGAGAGAGACAGAGGCACCAAAACACCCAGGAGACACTGAAGCTCATCACGTGTTGTTTGTCCCCCCCGGAGTCGTGTCTGACTCCATCCTGAGTTATAATCAGACGGCGAATCACGGGATCCCGTGCAGCCCAGGATGCCGACGCGCGCCATGCAAGCGCACACCCAGTCCGGCTGTGCCTGGGATTGGGTGGAGGGAGTGGTGGCTGCGGACGGAGTCTCGGGATTGGTAGAGTTCACCGCCAAACTTGTTGACTCATAACTGAGCAGCTCCTCTCCATCCTTCACGGCGCGGAGCTGTCCAGGGCCAGTGGTGCTGAAACTGCCGCCTCCCGAAGCGCAGTCGGAATAATTTCGTTTTTTCTTCCGGTTTCCTTGCTCCCATCGAGCTCTTGAAAGTTATATGCTCCTGCGTGACACTTCTAGACGTCAGGTTTAAGCGTCACTTGACGGATTTCTATCCGCTGTCACCGCTCTATCCAAGGAGCGCATCAAGCCTTCAACTTCTCAGCCGATCAGACAGAGGACTCTCAAACGCACAGCCATGGCTTTCATGGTAAAACACATGGTGGGAGGACAGCTGAAGAACCTGACAGGCGGACTGACGGAGGAGAAATCCGAAGGGGAGAAATCAGACGCCGCCGCGCAGGGGATGACTCAAGAGGAATTTGAACAATACCAGCAACAGTTAGAAGAGGAAAAGTAAGGCAATGATTGAAGCTTGTGATTGTGAAGTTGTAATGAAATCTACAGTGTGTGTTGGCATATTTAAACGGTGTGTTTTTGTGCGTAAATAGCTGAGCGTTCCCAGTGCGCCGCGCGCTTTTTTACGCATCAATGCAATAACATGAGCGCTCCACACACAGCTGCTCCTCTCGCCCAGGGAGCTCTCTGTCTCTTAGCTTCGGCAAATTATGTAGAGCTGTTTTTAATTTCGGATTCCTGGAATCATTGTTCCACGGAAATGTCCACAGGGATTCGTGCCTGGGGTGAAAAACGTTCCTACTGCTGAGCGTGCGGCTGAATAATGAATCAGACCGTGTGGTAAATAAAATGGGTAAAGTAGAGCCTCTATTTGCATATTGTGAGAGGGGCAACGAACTAATGTTAATTAATTTTGGCTTTACTTTCTCAGCCGACTTTCATTATTCAAACATATGTTTCCACTCAAGATGGTTGCAATTAGTTTACATTATAACAATATATTGCAGCCTAAAAAGTGGATACATTTAGATTTAGATTGGTATGGCCTCTATAATAGCTCTAATTTTGAGGTTTAGATGTAATTTCTCTGTATATATTTACAGCTGTGATTCCAGCTGTGAGCCTTTCAATTTTTCTTGTTTCAATTATTGAAATATTTCCTCCGTGTCTCACATACAAAAGTGAATCCTTTAAATGTTGCACTTTCATAATTTACATATTCATTATGGTGTTTATCTCCTGGGTCTATTGGAGGGCAATCTAAAGCAACAACAAGGTCATTTGGCAGAGTTCATCCAGCAGACAGTAACTCCCTATTGATTAGTATGATGCTTCCCTTCCAGCAGCACGGCATGTCCCATATCAGATGTTCACTGTCCTGGTCATGAGAGAAGTCACCACAGATTAATGATGTGGAATAAAGAACTCAGAACTGTTTTTTTTTTTAAAAGGAAAATGGAAGATTGAGATTATACAGTGTCATGTGCAGACATTTTAAGAATGAGTACGTAGTTAAGTCCTGACTCTGGCAGTATTAACATCCAGCTCCACAGGAAGCCTGGCGAGATGCTTGACGCTCTGCTGTCATTATGTGACCTTCAGTGGAAGTGAATTATTAGTCAGAGGTGCTAAACATGAGCATAGATCACTGAGAAGCCCCTACTGCTCAGATTAAGGAAGAATAAGGTTGGGGGTGGGGGGGTTGAGGGCTGCTCACACTGGCATGTCACATGTAGACATTTTATCACCCTTAGCACCCGGGCCACAGTGACAACCCTGGTCATCTGAACGTCCTTGAGAGGGGAAGACACAAAGCTCTGCTCATTGGCTGCAAGTCAACGCTGCATGGGCCTATGTGCCGTTTGGTGTTTGGCACGCTCATGTTAATACAAAGTGAACTCTGCATCTTCAGATGAAACGACCTTCCCCTGACACATTGGGTGCAAACCCTTCACAAACCATACCCCCACCTCCCACACACACCCCCCTGCCTTTAGATTATGCTGCTGATTTGATCTTCGTAGGCGGACAGTGCAACCTCTGCCACTGTAGCTTTGCTTTGAAGAACATCATCTAGGAGGGTTTATTCTGCTATATGTTCCTTCTGCATCTCACTGACTGTAATAAAATGTGTTCTTTTTCTCTCGGCATTCATGCTATATTTGACCGCAGGCCAGAGCAGCAAGTTTGTTCAGCGTTATGTCACGTTGTTGACTCACGACGTCGGAGGCATTTCAGCAAATTTAGCAATTTACGCGGGGCAATTGTGAACTACAGTGAAGCCATAAATATTCCAGTGATGTTGAATGGAGAGAGCATTATTGCCAGCAGCCTGTTGCCTGCCCTCTGCTGGAGGCATCACACACTGTAGGCCGGCTTGTTTACAGGAGATGAGTTTCAAGAAACACATGACACAACACTCATTAAAAAAAAAAAATATCTCAACACCTCCCTCATAGAAGTCAGACTTACGGGTTGAAGATAGTTGGAGTAGATCTTTCACTTCTTCGATTGTTTAGCCTAAACTGGCCCTGTGCTCTTTTGAGCATCTCCAGGCTTAAAAGATGAGAACACAGTGAACCTCTGACGTTTAATATTGGCTCTGCAGAGAGGGAGTTGAGTCCAGGATATGTATGGAATGGCTTGACAGGGTAGTGACAGTGAGTCCGCAGTTAGTAGGTTACCTCTGGCAGTCCAACATCCCAAAAGGCCTGAAATCCCTCAGAGGAGTGCTGGACTGACAGGATGCCACATCTGGGGTTCCTAAACATAAGCAGAACATCTCTTCCTGCTCTTTGTCCCCACGGCATCACTGCTGCTGCTGCTGCTGCTGCTGCTGCTGCTGCTCCGCCTTCTGCTGGTTCTGTGCTCAGTAGTTGGAGCTAAGAGAACACATGGTGAGGCTCCAAGGCCTCCAGGGTCCAAATCCAGTAAGGGCCTTTTGATGCTCTTTTTTTTTTCTTTTTTTTTTTTGCGGGGTGTGTGGGGCTTGAAGTTTGAAATGTTACTTTATGTAGGTGAAAGGTCTGATCTAAATCTGTATGACACCTTGAACACTATATTTTTTCTCCTTTCTTGCAGACAAGAACGAGAAGCCCATTTCGCCCAGAAGAAAGCTGAGAGAGCTACAGTTAGAAGTCATTT